ACAAACTGTTTGTTTGTTACTGGAAGACTGAGAGGCTTCAAGTTCTTCAGGAAGAGGCAGGAAGACATTTAAAATACTGACCACTTGAAAACACAGAAAATTCAATATTGACGATGACGATTTCCAAATGTGAGGGTTACTGACTTTTTCTGCTCGTGTTTCTCTTTCTGATACAGTCTTTTAGCTGTGAGGCCTGGTGTGCTTTTTTCTTGCCATGGCAACAAAAGTATTTACATAAAAACAGCGTAGTGACATTCACACCAATGCTGTAAATGTGCTCGTGTTAGCTATTGATCATTTCTAAATGTGCTAAATTTCTAATTAAGTATATGAAACCAGAGATAACCTCCAAAAACCAAAGAGAAAGAAACCATCCTTTAATAAGCACTACTGTTTCAAGCAGTGAGGGAGGCAGAAGAATATTTGAAACACTAGAAAATCATTGGTCAGGTCTAACAAAGCCAAAGTCAAGAGGCAACTCATGCTGCTGAGAGTTTAAAAAGAAGACTAACACATAGAATCAGTAGGTGTTAACACCCAATGCAATATGAGGATAGGTTTGAAGCAGTAGAGCCATTGCAGTCCTGGAAGGAGCTCTGGGGCTGTGAGCAGGGCATGCTGGACTTCCTTATGTGTGCTGTGACTAACCTCTTTCCAATCCCAAGCAGCTTTATTGCCTGAGACAAGGAAGAGGATGCATCCTGCAAGCAGTGTCAGCCAGGCTCATGCAGCCTGAGCAACATCTTAACTGGATGTCAAAAAGCACCGCAGGTGGTGGGATGATAGGGTCCTCACAGACACCACAAACAGACTTCTAGAGGGTCAAAGCTAGTTTTTCACTGTCCTCCACTTCTGACTTCAAGCTTCTGACTGACAGAAAAGAATTCAGACCTCATAAAGAAGCTTAAAGAGGTAGTAGGGATCACACTCTAACCTATCTAGATGTACAAAAACTTCCCATGAACTGCAACAAGCCAGGTTCCAGTGTCTGGTTGTTGAGGCCATTTCCAAAGTATAGTGTGCGTCCTCATTTCTAGACTAAAGTCAGCTGCTGTGGGCAACATCCATGTGGAATTTCCTACAAAAGACTAACTTGAAGGTCAAAGGACTAAAGAAAGCCAATGAGGAGCTACAGCAGCCAAGACTAGCTCAAGAAGGTGAAGCTATGGAAGAGTTCCCAACAAAGCATAGAGGACACAGACAATGCTGCCACCAGGCTATCATGTGAAGGCCACCACATGCTGCGCTTCTGATGTTTACATCACCCAATAACCCTGTAGAAGAAATTAATGTAAAGTTTTAAGAAAATGAGCACATTTATCCAGTAGTAGACCACTTTTACCATTAAAGGATAGGTTCACATTTCCTCAAGTCTACTGTAACACAGAAATCACATGTCTGTGAGTCATTGCTCAGTGTCGTTGATAATGTTGTCCGTACTGGCTGCAAATAAAATATGAACCCATCCTTTAACTTCAAAGTCATTAAGACTGACACCAGTGTTAATCTGACCAATCACATGCTGCCTTTTACCTGAGCGGGCACGTGTTCCTCAGGTAGACCTGTCTGCACAGTATCTGACTGCTTTCCTGTGACATCGCGTTACATCAGAGTATTTGTTATGCAGTTTGATGAGGAGACACCATGACATCATTAGTAATATTAACATTTTCTCTGGTTTCCAGTGCAACTGTGAAAACAATAACCTGAAGGTTAAAAGTGCTAAAAGAAGCTATCTGCTAGCAGTACACCAGACTGACAGCCAAAAGTCCTGCTACTGCCCTCTAGAGGCTCCAGTGCTCAGTGTGTTGGACAGAAAAACAAACAAATTAAAGCATTAAAAGTTCATCTGGGACCCTGTGAACAGTTTGTGTGATAATGCTTGCTCAAAGGCCCTCTAAAAGGCTTTTTTCCACATCCTTCAACCACGTCTCCTTAAAGCTTCATCACATGACCTGAATGACTGAAACGGAAAATTGAATTAAATTAAACAAAAAAAAAAATCGATTAATGCTTACATAAATCAGCAAATGCGAGAGCACCGTAGCACCCAGACATTACAACAACATAATGTAAATGTAGGAAACATACACAAGATGAAAAGTGTACTTTAAATTGATCATTTTTTCATCGAGCCTCAAAGCTTTGCACCAAAACAAGATAAATAACCACCCCGTCAACAAAGAAAAAAGGAAACAAACGAACGTCATTCTGAATGTTGTTCTTCTTTGTTTACCAGGCAGCACAGAAATTCAGCAACAGTTAGTTTAACCTCCTAGGACCTGGCGTCCACATATGTGGACATCACATTTTGGCTTATTTAGACCAAAATATTCAATTTTGGTGTACAGGGGCCTGATATCCACTTACGAGGACATTATACTGCCAATGGTCTATCGAAATTTTAAATAAATATTCTCATATGTGGCTCTTATTTTTCTTAGAAACAAAAATCAGGTAAAAAAATTAAAAATCTGGTAATTCTTTGTTTTTACATTCATCGGGTCCCAATCAGCCCAAATATCAAAGAGAAATTAAAAATGCATGTCGTGGAAGAGTTCGGGTCTTAGGAGGTTAAAGACAGGATTTGACTATTGTTACTCATTAAAACTGAATAAGTAACGAAGCACGTAGAACAAGTAAAAGCCAAGAAAACAGGCCCCTCTGTGTATCACATATTAAGCGAGCCGGGGTAAAGTCGTGTTTTTACTCAAGGTTTTGTGGCCAAAAAAACATTTTAGCTCTTCTGGATGGCATAATTTTCACTTTCCTGTTGTTCTTGGAAGACTGGATAAATATCCTGCGATGCTGGCGTGTATTCACACACTCAGTGAGTTTGACAACACAGATTTTTCTCTGCTCCTAGATCAAGTCTATTTTTATTATCCTGGGTAACAGAGCTGGACTATAAAGAACAAGTGAAAAACACAAAAACACACCTCACTTCACCCAAAGCTCTGAGATGTAGCTGGAGCTTCAGAAAACAGCCAAGAAGTGGACCTTTGAGTGATGATGAAAAAAGGTAATATGAAGGCCAAAGAAAGCTTAAAAGCTAATGGGTTCATCGCGCACCTTGAGATAACCATCCCTGGACCAGAGTGATAAATGGACCAAAAGTCTTAATTTAAGCAGTTATTGAAAAATCAAGAAAAAGCTTTAGGTAAATATATACAACACACAATGTAAAATAAATAATTAGAACACAAAAATAACCAGAGAAGCATTAATTAAAGCTGTAGGTAAAAGTTTGTTTTATCGATTGAGAGTCCGTGAGCTTAGTTGCAGGTTGTGGAAAAGTTCTAGTAATGTTTTAAAACGTCTCTCCAACTCTTCAGCTTTCAGAAAAGTTCTGCTCAGATGCTTCAAACTCCAGAAAGTTCAGTGACAGCAGGAAGGTTCAATAAAACAAAAGAATCAGACAGAAGGCCCTTTTCTCCATCCAGAGTCCAAAATCATTTTTCAACAGGCAGCGGAGACAGGTGGACAGGACACGGGGACACTAGTCACACATTAGTCACACAGAAAGCAGAAAACAGTCGGAGACAATGATGAGCAAACCTTTGGATAACCATTAACGGTTATGTGACAATGTTGATCCGAGAAGCTGTCTGGTTTAAACTGCTTTTCATGTTTCCACTAAAGAATATATCTGCTTTAGTGCAACTTGGTGAAGCTGTAGCCGCCACTGAGGACAGAGCAGGATGTGCTGTAGTGCTGTGTCAGGTCATGTCACCAGTTGCAGATGTTTTACACTTTTTAAGGATTTTAAAGCTGATTTTAGTATTTACGTAGCTCACGTGTATCAAAATGTAATTGTTTTGGGACAAAAAACAGAAACATTTTACAAATTGAATTGCATACTTGCCTGGCAGTTTGGATGCAGGGAGATATTAGAACTGAAAAACAGGTGAATAAAAAGCTATTTTATTTATTTCTGCTCTTTTTTAAGGAGAAAAGTGAAATATTTGGTCAAGTTTTTATACATCAGTAACCAAATAATAAGGTTTTAATGACATCACCAAACAGATCAGTAGGTCAAACAATCGCAGAGGCTGAAAACAGGCCGCCTGTTCAACCAAACAGTTCACACCACTGTGTCCCCACTAATAAATAAAACCATGTAGGTTTTATTGTAAACCATGTAGGTTTCGGAGCTGCACGACAGGACGTCTAACTGTTTTTAGAGATGAACAAGCATGGCTGGTTTTAGTATTTTCATGTGATTTGTTGACAATAAGTACAAAATGCTGTGTACTCCATCCTTCAACTTTTTTTTACTTTCTTCAGGAATTATGTATATGTGAAACACGAGAGTAGCGTCTGAGTGAGGGCACGCTGACAGCTGCAGTAGTGTTAGGTCACGATAGACGACGTCTGCTGAGTTTCTGACGTCTTATTTGTGCTGCTAAGCTCCTCGAGCAGGTGATAGAACAGCTCCTCCAATCCTCTTCAACCTCTGAGGGAGAACCCGAGCTGGGATCTCGAGCAAAATGTTCCCATCAGCTTTAGTGTCTGGCCTCATCAAAACGTCCAAACTTCCTCAAAACCTAACCCCCCCAAAAAATGAGTAACAGCACTGTTACCTGTGTTGGTAAGAGTTTGGGAGCAGGTTCTGGGTTGTCTTTAGATTCAGTGTCTCGTCAGCTCTGACAAATCAAAATACATTAAAAGCCTATTTTTTTGGCCAATGCAGGCTGCTAAAAACGGATATTTGTTCTCGACTTGGCTTTCTCTAAGGTGGGCCCTGTGTTTTAGATTTTGCAGGTCTCTACGGTCACTTAGTGCTTTCTAAACAATGTTGAGCAACTTCAGTATTTTTTGGTTTCCAGGAACTTCACATGTCTCAATGAAAGAACTCTTTTGTTATTTTTTATTCTGTTTTTTCGTTCATCCAGGTTCAGGATTATTTAAACGTACATCCCCTCTTCTGGTCGGCAAGAGGCAGTTCACAGTTCACAACTTTCTTAGCGGGGAGGTTGCAGGTTTGAATCCCTGCAGTCTTAATGCGATGTCTCCCATGTCCCCGTAGTGGCAACAAAAAGCATGTCAGAGGTCAAAGTTCGCTGGTATGACTTCCCGCTTCTGCTGGCATCAGTACGGCGTGAAGAGAATCGATCCTTGGCTCGCTCTGATTGGTCCAGGTGCTGGACGGAGGAAGGAGGCTGTGAAAAGGGGGGAAGAGGCCGGAGGGCGAGGGTGGATAGAGATCGCAGGTGTGAGGGGGGAGGACGTGGGTGTGAGGAGGGGGGAAGAGGACAGAGAGGATGGAGGGAGTGATAGAGAGGGGGTGAGCGGAGTAGATGGTGGAGCAAAAGGAGTGGAGAGGAATGAAGGTGAGAGCGCAGGCTTCACCAGCTCCTTCTGAGCAAACATGGAGAAGAGAGGAGGAGAGGAAACAAAGAGACATCGATGAAAAAAAACAGAATGAAGACAAAAGTAAATAATAATACTTAATTAGAGGAAGGGAGGTAAAGAGACACTCACAGTGAGTGAGCCGCGCTGCTGTTTGTTGTAAGGACTGTACTTGGGTTTGCTGGGTTTTCCTGCCACTCTGTCCTTGTGCCTCCTGCTGGAGATGTGCTGCAACAACAACAAACACTGTCACAGTGAAAGCAAATCTGAGGGCAGACAAGACCAACAGCAACCGAGACTATAAACTGCACAAGAACAGAAGAACCTGAATGAAATTAAGGATCAAGATTTCACAATGATTCACAAACTAAAAGCAACCAAGTATGTAGTTCACTAGTGTAAGTTCATTTGTCATTTCAGGTAAAGAGTTGTTAAACACATTAGTTGGATAATGTACAGCAAAAGGCCTTTCCAGGGGTTAAAAACCAAAATAAAATGAATAAACATTAATTTTCCAGTTGTGAGAAGACTATTTTTACTTTAAACTTTAAACATAAACTGAAACTACATTAAAGGTACAGTATGTGAAATCTCACCACTAGGGTGTGCAGCTTAGAGTCAGTTGAGTTCGACTTTCTTATCCCTCACAATTTAAATGCATTATCCTAGCTACGGTGGCCACTGCATGACAAAACTCTGGCCACAGTTCATCTGTAGTGAGTGTAGGCTGTCAGTCCACTGTTTACCTCAGATGTCAATATGTGTCTATTTACTCTGCAGGACGCTGTAAAACCTTGTGAAAGGAGTCCAATATGACGACGATCACTTCTGTGACAGCAATGCTGAGGTGAATTGCTGGTTTTACTGAACCTTAGTATTGTGTAACAAATATTTGAGTGTATATGAACAGTCTGACAATCCTGTAGCTGCCTTCCTTTAGATATTTGTGAACCTGCTGCGAGTTTCTACCTGTTTAAGCTGGATCTCAGAGTTGACATGGACATCACAGATCTGGCAGTGGAAGGTTTTGTTCTGCAGGCCGGAGCCCTTCAGTCCCGAGCTGCTGCCGTTCTTCAGCTTTGCTCCAGGCCGAGGGTAGGCTTTGATCGGCCCAGCGCCACTACGAGCCTCCAGCATTGTTTTATGTTTTGATCCTGAAAGCAAAGGAAAACAAACTCAGGAAACACGAAAGGTAAAAATATCTTTAAAAATGGGTCTGTTGTTTTAATTCCATCAAAATAAAACCTGTACACACCGTCTGCTTTTACACTGATCTTTATCTTCATGGTTACAAAAGCTTTCTATAAAAATCAACCAGAAAAGACTTGCCGAGGATAAATATTCATGTGTGATTATCATAATGTGGAAACAGAAGTGCAGAAACTCTGCTGAAAGCTCTCCCTGTTGATGTATTCCAGGATTTCCACAAATCCTTTTGGCCATATTGGATTATGAACAAGTTTAATAAGTTTAATGCTTGTGTGTGTTTCATGCATGAAGCACAGCATTTGTTTTTTGAATATCTTTTCATGTCACAGGAGTAAAAGTAGATACCAAAGATCTCCAAGCAGGGGCAGCACAGAGCTGCTGAGGGAGATTAAGGGACACCTTCCTTCCACCTTTCAGTGTCATTAATCCAAATTCTCCTCTTTCTAAATGTGTTTATAGCTATATAGCTAAATGTATATACCCTGGTATGTTTCTGTGAGGAAGTAAAATAACTACCAGCAATTGAACTGTCCACCTAATTTATAGATTCAGAGATATGAAGAGTGAAAAAAACAGCATATGTTCGAGGGAGCTTCCCGCAGCTTTCAAAAGAAAACTTGGTTTTATGTGAATCTCTTTTGGGGTTTTTTGGGTCCGACTTAAAGTAAACACAGGACAAGGCCTCGTGGGAACTGCATTTGTAATCTCCATCCAGGAAAATTCTCCGGTTGACTTAATCACTTGATTGCTGGTATTTACAGATGGTAACATTAGTTGAAGCGCTATGCTGAGATGCACAACAGACATATTTTGTATTATTTTAGTTTAATCACCTGATGCTTACTCTATTTTAACACTGTAAATATGAAGCACAACCGCTCAGCCGATATTGTAGTTGGACCTGTCCTCACTGATTTACAGCCATGGTAAAAAGACACTCTGTCAATTCAAAGGTTTCACATATCAGGAGATAATAAACATGAGCTGACACTTGACAGGTCTTGAAATTAGGTAAATAAAACCACAGATGAGTTACAACATGTCACATGTTACACAATATCAACATTTATTTAACAAAAACGAAGCCGAAATGCAAACAAAGTCAAAAATATGTCCATCTTTAATACTTCCACAGGAATTAAGACGATGAGTAACAAAATGCTCAGGAGGAAAGAGATTACCATCAGGGACTATCAGCCCATCAATCCGGGAAGAACTATAAGGATATTTACCAAACAATGTGAAATCTCCCATCGTACGCTGAGAGATTTTATTCAGGATTGGGCATTCCAGCAAATCCAGCCCAAGGTCAGACTGTGCAATGCTCAAAGAAACCAAGAGCCAAGAGACTCTACAGGCCACTTTTGTACATATTTCCTGTACTGTGCTAAAGATGAATCAATCCTTCTGTCCTTTAACTTCAATTTAAATCACAGCAACTTAACATTCACCAGAACCGACAATTTTCATAAATTCAATATTTTGTAAATGAAGGTGTAACAAAGAACTAGATGCCACAGAAGCTTTTGTTTTTGCATGCTAATGCTAATGCAGATCATATAAAATCAAAGGTGCATATCTCTCCTCACCTGCATTATGCGCCTCCAGCTGAGAGAGCGAGTTGACCGCGACTTTACAAAGAGAACAATACAGCAGCTTTTTCGCCTTCTCCTCTTCTGACTCCACTGAAGGTGAAGCATCCTGGGAGGGTGCAGGTGGAAGGGGAGCAGGGCAAGACAAGGTGGTGACAGGAGCGGGAGCGGAAGCGGAAGACACTTTGGAAGAAGAGGATGACGAAGAGGAAGAGAGGCCTGGAGCTGGGAGTCCCGATGGGGGGCTGGATGGAGGAGGCTCACTGCCTGCTCTACTAGAAGAGGGGGAGGAGGAAGAGAGAGGGGAGGTAGAGGGGAGGAGGAAAGATTTGACAGGAGACGGAGTGTCTGCGGTTCTGGATAAGAAATCTGAAGGGAGAAGAGTGGAAGGAAAATGAAACAATATCTGAAAAAAACATCAGCAGCAACATAATTCACATCAGTGTTATTACTGGATAAAAATGAACCTGTGTGTTGATTAGTGCTGCTGTTAGCTGAGACAAGAGGGACGGGGACAGCTGAGACAAGAGGGGCGGGGCCAGCAGGATTACAGACGCTCCCATTGGTTTCTGCAGAATTTGACAGCTTAGCCTTGGCTTTGTTCTCCTGAGACTTGAGCTTCTTTGCGTGACGACTTCCTCTGTAATGAGCCTCAGCCTGAGACTGAGATGTAGAAATAGAAAAGTTTAAGTTTTGTATTTGAGCCATTCAGCATCCTCCAAAATAAAACCGATGTGAAAGGGCCAGAGACTGCAGTCAGTGACTGGAAAAGCCACTTCAGAGCAGCTATAACAATGAACCCTGTACATTGCTTTATAAGGTGCTCACCTTACAGAAGACATAAACATGTTTACAGCATACAAAAAGTTTGGTCTCTATGGCTAATCTCCCTTTAGTAATTCAGGGTAGTTGCTGAACCATAGAAGGCATAGAAAAGCATGCCAGCAAAGCTGCAGCAGCACAGCAGCGCTGGAGCTGCAGGCATTCATGCACGCTATAGGACACCTGTGTTTTGGAAAAGCTCAGAGCACAATCGCTGGAATTACACACATCAAAACAAGGACAATAGGCTTGAAGCATGAAAATACATTTATGTTTTATTTACAGACCTACATATAGCACACATTAAATCCAGGCCTCTGGGCCACCTGTGTACACAGCCGGACTGATTAAAACAGGACTTTACATATAAAGTTAAATGCACAGGAGATGGACCTGAGGCCACTTTTGGGCTGGCGATGCGTGAAAAATGTGCAGCCCCCTCGTTCTCTGAATAAAGCCGGAGCATCTGTGCAGCAGGAAGGTTAACAAGAAATTGCCATAGCTATTTTTTTCATCATGCTCAGCTTTTCCCAACAGTGAAACATCATCCAGTAACGCGGCGTTTTGGCCAATCAGATGAATGCGAGTCCTCGTTTTCTGGGTATTCACACTGCAACAGGAAGGGTAATGTTTCTTTCCAGGCCTAGAGAGACTGCAATTTCCTTCTTCCAGAGTCCCATGGAGGGAGCATCCATACTCTTCCAACATAGCGCAATGGCTCTTCTGGCTTGAAGTAGTCCATAGTCCAGTAATTTGGTTTTTTTCCCGATTGCTTAAATTCCCTTGGATATATTCCAAGTACATAGAGTTTTCCTTTTAAAGGGATTTTTACGTTAAACACTTCAGACAGATATTTGATAACATCTTTCCAAAAGTCCTGGATTTTAGGACACTCCCATAGACAATGAAGAAGAGTTCCTTTTTCAACTAAACATTTAGTACAGATGTCCGGAATATCATTGGACATATGATGAAGCTTGACAGGTGTTATATAGGTTGTCAGGAGCCATTTATATTGCAGTAGTTTAAAGCGTGTGTTTATTGTTTGTTTTTGTGCTTTTAAGCAAGCCTGGTTCCAGTCATTTTCATCTATGTCCTCTTGGATCTCCCTTCTCCAAGCATCCAGTTTATCTGCTGCTGAGTCTTTTGAGGAAAGCATCAGTAAATTATAACATATAGAGAGAAAACCTTTCCCTTTTGTATTCTTAATGCATGCCTCCTCTATTTTTGTCAGTGGTGGAAGTTCAGCAATCCTTTGCAGTTTTGATGACAAATAGTTTTTCAATTGTAAATATTTTAAAAAGTGCTTTGGGGGTATTAAATATTTTTTACACAACTGATCAAATGTGAGCAGCATGCCATCTGCATATAGGTCTTTAATTTTTTGAATGCCTTTATTTTTCCATATTTTAAATCCTCCATCACTTTTACCAGGCGTGAACTTTTCATTTCCCCAAATAGGGGTAAATTGCGAAAGCGATGGAGGATCGCCCACATATTTATGAGCTGCA